TGATGACTCGTGATGACGTTACTAGTGACCAAGAATCGTGATGCTTGCATCCCAGGTAGCGCACATGACAACATGACATCAAGCATGTCATATCTCACTGCTCTGAAGTAGAAGCGGCGGTGCTGGTGGTAGTAGTAGTAGCTGCAGCAGCAGTAGCAGCAGCTGGAGAAGTGGTAGGTCGTCGTCGTCGTCGTGATCGTAGCAGCAGGAGTAGCGGCAGCAGCCGCAACATACATAGATGGAAGGCATCACCTCTTGCGGAAACCTGTATTCCAGATGTATACTCGCAATTTAGCAGGACCTAGTTTGGTTGGCTTTTTAGCGGTTTGGCAACCCGAGATGGTGTGCGAGAACTGAAATACTGTTCACTCGTTGCAAAGAGGCTACGCCACGGCCCAGGCCATTTATTCAATTTCTGCATGTGTGGCTTGAATGATCAGAACCCTTAAGGGTCCAAAGGACCCAATAATCAGATACTTAGGTTTCGGATAGTAGTTATATATGTTACTAGTGCGGGAGTATATGAGTATTGGGTACTTGGACCCCTTGGGGAAAGAGAAGCTTCAAGAGAACGGTCTCGTGGTGCATCCTGAATATGAAGCAGACCCGAAAGCCCTGAATTGGGTCTTTGGGCAACCAGCATAGAAATAATACTGGCACGGGGATTTAGCGGGTTTAGGGTTTAGGGTTTTACTGGCAGGGGGATATAGAGGGTTTAGTTTCCGTTTCCTAATACAGGCTTATTCGGGCAACATTGTTCGGACTGCCAACGAACGAGTTACCGTTGCTGATCCTTACCCGGCCCTAAACCCTGAACCCCAAACCCTAAAAGCATCAGCACGGAAACAAAGGGATGCCTTTGCTTGTTTCCCAACTCCGGACGTAGGTTCGCAGGGCTTCGGTAGCTGTACCTGGAGCTGCCAAGGACGAGCGAGGGAAACCCAGAACCGTAGTGGCTTAACATACCTGCTGGTGCAGATGTCTTTATACATTGCTCGCTGGGCTTGTGCACAACATCTGCCGTGCTTTTGTGGTACTGTATGCCTAAAATAGTCAATTCCTGGACCTCCACAGGCCCTGAACAGTGTGACAAGTGACAAGTTGGGCTGGCTCAGGGTGCGCGTGGTACGTGGGGTTGCTCAAGCTATGCGCTTTAAAACTTGGTTATAATTGCTGTATTCATGTACCTTGTTGTCTGAAAGTCCCAGGGCCGACCATCATCCGCTCCCTCGATGAGGCTTGCGCCAGGCTGTCTTGTTTAATCTGCCCTCGCATGGAGGACTTCAAACAACCACACATGTCAGTGCCATATGCTCCTACTATCTCCTATTCGAACATCCAGCCGGGTTGAAGCATCCTGTTCTCCAAACTCAGAGCCATACACTCATTGAGGTGTGCTTGGAACTCAATGCGCAACACAGTTCTCCCACGATGACCCTCGCCGAACTCCCCATCGAAACTGAGTGCCTCCATGGCCCTATGACCGTTTCTCCCGAAATCGAAGTATAAGCGCCCCCTTAACCCTTAATCAACTTCATTAAACCGAGCAGCCAACAGAAGACAACTGGTCCACACAAAGCCCTGAACCCTAAGGACCTCTTCAAAGGCCCCAGAAAGAGGAGCGACTTCTCATCCAAGTTTTCGAAACTGGCGGCTTCGATCGTAAAATTGGGCACCTGAGACTTTGATGGTCTCGTGCTGAGGGTTTAGAGATCTCCAGGTAAGGATCGCTGCCAAGTTGGTTTAGGGCTTAGGGGTTTAGAGTTTAGGGCTTAGGGGGGGGAATTCTGGTTTAGGGTTTAGGGGTTGGTCCTTCAAGAAGGTTGGTTTGTAAGGCTTCGGGGATTTAGGTTTGGCATCAAACCTCGGGATTCGCCTAAGGTTCAGACCTAACTGAAAACTCACCAAACTGGGGTCTAGATCTAGGCAAAGGCTCCAGCACGTGTTACACCACAGACCAACTATTGCGTTCGATTTGGGGTTCAAAGGGGTCCGCGGCTCCTTTCAAACATATTAATAGTCGCAAAAATGGAACTGAAGGAATCTCCTGTATCCCACAGAAACGTTTTCAACATGGTTCGGGCTCCATCCAGAAATTCCAGATGTGAAGCATGTTTGAACAACAATGTCACAAGGAGCTTGGTAACTGCCCTAAACCATATAAACCCTAGACCCTACACCCTTAACCCTAAGCCCGCAATCAAATCCAACAACAACATCGCCGCAACTGTGCGCCTGGCAAGCATCAAGCAGGGGCCTCACGACTGAAATCCCAAGTCTATTTAGGGTTTGGGGTTCAGGGTTTAGGGTTTAAGATTGTAGCAGCAGTGCAGCTACTGAGGACTGGGTTCGATTTTCACCCACAGCCTGGCATGCCTGCTAGACAAGTTCCCCTGCAAATGCTTCAGCTTACAACATGCTGCTCTACAATGGAGAGCTCCGTGCAGCTTCGATAGTCGCACGTCCTTATCCTTATCTTTTCGTGCCAAGGGTCCCAGGGTGCAAAAAACACACCTAGACCAACCAGTGCCATCGCTATTGTGTATTGCCCTGCCGGACACGCTGCACCCTCACCCATCTCCACCCTCCTAATCACACCCCGGAGCAACGCTAGAACTTGAAGCAGGCGCAGCAGGAGCAGCAGCGGCAAGTAGCACTATCAGAAGAATACACCAGCAGACGAAGCAACTAGGTCAACAGCGACAAAACTCAGTGCCTTGGACACCACCACCGCTAGCACCTGCCCCACCACCTTGAAGACATCACTTGGAAAACCAAGTATGCAAAACGATAGCAGCAACAGTAAGTACAGTGACACCCACACCAACAACAGCAACAGCAACTCCGCCGCCACCATCAGCACCAACACCTTGAAGACATCACTTGGAAAACCAAGTATGCAAAACGATAGCAGCAACAGTAAGTACAGTGACACCCCCACCAACAACAGCAATAGCAACTCCGCCCGTATGGGGCCGTGTGTTTGGAGACATTTTCCGATTAGTGCAAGACGACGGCGTGGCCAAAACTCGAGCGAAACGAGAACCGCCAGCACGACTACCAGAAGCACCACCAACAGTACAAAACAGCAAACCAACAACAAGCAATGAGCCGTGAACAACCACATCAAGGCAAAGATGCGGTTACTACTACTACTACTACTACTACTACTACTACGACGACGACGACGACGACGACGACGACTACTGCAACAGCAGCAGCAAAAGCGGCGTCAACAGCAAAAATAACAGCAGCAGCTGAGGCGGCAGCAGCATCAGCAGTAGCAACATTCACAAATACAAACAAGATGAACAACCGCTGGAATACAACGACATGGCAGCAGCAACTGCTGCTGCGGAAACACCACTGCCAGCATTGACTGCAAAGACACAGCCAGAACCTGCCATCATCACCACCGCCATCATCGTCAAACACAACATGACCGCAACGAGGGTCAGCATACTTGTCTTCATCATCGGCAACATGATAGCCAACATCGTCGTCAGAGAACTAAACTGGAACCATCAACACCAGCGACAATAGGCATAAGGAATAGCGTGGTGAAGATGATGTTGAAGCAAAAATTGGGCAGTGCCGGTGGCGAGCATTAATACTGACGGTCATCATCATGGCACTGTCGAACGAAGCCCAAACCTGGACTTCTACAGATCCCGAGCACTGCAACGCTGTGGCCAAGGAGCGTTTGCAGGTTGCAGCGAACCGAAACAGCTGATCCTTTGCTATAGGCGGCTTTCGTGGTACATGGAAGGTGACTTCGTTCCGTTGGCTTAGGATGCGATGCTCGTTTCAGAAGTCTTGGCTCATGCAGTCTTCAGAGAGACGGTGTTCGATTTGATGATTGATGATGCGGCGTTGAGATGTATGGGCAATCGGGGGTTTGCCAGGGCAGCCGCAATCCTTGCATGAACCAGTCCTCGCCTGTAGATCTGGGCAGCTACGAACCGAGTGCAAAGTCACGAATCACTCCCGAAGGCCCTAGCTGCTAGTCCAGACTGATAATCACAATAAACTATACATCTGCAAAAGTGCTCATCAGCTAGTATTTCACAGAGGCTTACCCGGTAAAGCCAGGATGGAGGAGGCACTGGTGCCCCTTCGGGATCCCTGTAGGCATGTGCGCCCTGGTACAGTTTACGGCCAATCGGACACCCTGGCCGGGAAGTACAGTTCTCCGTCCCGAGCAGAAAGCTCGTATGAGTATATCCGACTAGAGGGTCCCTTGTCAACTCTATTCTACATGCCCAAGTTGAGGAGAATCGAGACAGTTGTCCAACACGGCCGCCCCAATTGCGATACGTAAAGCCGAACCTACAGTCCATACAGTTCTGTGAACTACTGTAATCAAGCCGCCCGGATCAAAGTACATAAGTATGGTGGATGCTGGTGCATGTATGTATATGTATATATGTGGATGTATGGATATGTGTGGTATGCAAATAGCCAGTATGTCTGCATGTATGCATATATGTATGTATGCATGTATGTATGTAAGCATGCAGTTTTGTATGTGTATACACATATGTATGCATAATTAAACTTCTGTATGCATCTATCTATCTATCTATCTATCTATCTATCTAGCTATCTATCTAGCTATCTAACTAGCTGTCTATCTACCTATCTATCTACCTATCTATCCATCCATCCATCTATCTATCGATCTATCGTTCTATCGATCGATCTATCTATCTCTATCTATCTGTTTGTCTGTCTATCTATCTATCCATTTATCTATCTAATTACTCATCTGTATATCTACCTACCTATCTACCTATCGATCGATCTGTCTATCTATCTACCTACCAATCACGTGTGTGTGTGTGTGTGCGCGTGTGTGTACACTCATGTTTAAATGCATACAAACACACGCACATACATGTACAACGTTCTGGTTATGCAAGCCTAAACCGACAATGTAGGGATCTGGACAGCAGAACTAACATCTTCACAGAATCCCTTCATGCTCATACCATATGTTTTCACTTTTGAAGCCGTGCCATTGGTTGGAGCAGAATGCCACTCACGCAGAAGTCTGTGGAGAAGCGCCCGTCCACGACTAAAAGCTTCCTGGGCTGCTGACCCTGAGGTTTAAGACTGTGTGGATTTGGGGTTTAGGGTGAATCTAAGAATGCTCTATTATACAAATTTACGATGAGGGTTTGCGCCATTGGTAGGTGCCCCGCCCGGTTCGGGCAGAACTGTGTTCAATAGCTCGAGTTGGGCGTCGCAGGCTGGGAACTTGCATTGTCCAAGATAGGCATATGCATCTGGCAGCAACTCACACGTTTCCGGAGACAGACGTGATGATGGTCATGATCACGATGATGATGACGACGGTGATGCTGCAGAGACGAAGAAGGAGATGATTACATCACTGCTGATGCTGACCATGCTTTGCAGTTACCCCCCATGCGTTCACCTGCTGGCTCGCATCGGGTCTCCGACAGGAACGACGCATTCATGAACAAGTGCTGACCCTAAAACCCTAGATGATGACCGAGTAACAGCCACTTCACATGACGGTGCTCACAGCGGACATCCTCGTCTTCTTCGATGTCGCCATGCTCTTTGGAATCTAAACATAGCTTCCAGTCAATACCATCCTCAGAGCAGAAGACCTTGAAGTGGACTTCCTCCGTTAGCACTCGGGCATTGAAGGAGAAGCTCGTGAGGTAGAGCGAGACAAAGGGCATCATCCAAACGATCCAGCCATCTTGTATTGCAATGGAGTAGGTGTGAAAGTTGTCGTTGTGGGCCAAGGCCTGATCTAATCTTACACTGACTAAGAGGTGCCTTCGACAACCCGACAGCCCAAAGAAACCGACTCTGTGCCTCCAGAAAGCCGGGTTCAGCAACTGCATCACTCCAGTCGTTCTCTGGAGGTCCCAGAAGCAAAGCAATTTGACGCCCACGACCCCAGTAGCTTTCCTTGCCCCGAGATAGCGTAACTGAGACCCTTCTGTGACTTCATGAGAGTTTCACAGGAGCTTTTCTGTTTCAAGCTTTGGCTGTATCCGGAGCCTGAGGGGAGGGACTTTATTTTTCGAAATGGCTCCTTGAGCTCGAACAGCGCGTCGCCACTGGCTACTCTTCGGTGTGTCGTTGCTGGCCCCTCAGCGTAGGCTTGCAGTAGTCCTTGGACCTCACGTTCCTCCTCGGAGGAGGCCTCGTCCCAATTGCAGATCAAGTCCTCGAGAGTTGGCCCAACAATAGAGTCGGATAAATCTAAAGGCTTTATGGGGGTTAGACACTACTAAGGCAAGGAGGAAGGAAAAGGAGAAGCAGCGACAGAATGCAGCGCCGGCAACGCTACACCAGAAGCACTAGAACTTGGGTTTCCGCCCTCGTGATTAATCATACGAGGGTTTTGGGAAGAGTACTTCGGATGAGAACGACGACTGCTAGTCCTGCTGTTGCTACTGTTGCTGCGGTTGCGTGCCGCGGCCACTGTGATGACGACAGACTACGATGACAATGAGCAAGACGACAAAGGTCAAAAATATGGCCTTGATTCATTCTGGCCTTGCTTTGGCTCGGAGTGCGGCCTGGCTTGTTTAGAATGGATGAGTCGGATGAGCCCACATTCCGTAGTACATAGACCATGGTAGAACGCACCGGGGCTCAGTTCGCACTCCGAAGCCTGCATGCATTCAAAGTACATGCAAATGCTACAGCCCACTACGTTCCAGCACTCGCATGCTATAAGAAACACACGGTTATATCTACCCCAGGACCCCATCACAACGCGCGCAAAGCATCCTGAAGATCTTCGCTGCCGATACAGAGCGCCTCGCTACCGACAATCTCTTCCATCAGTTGTGGGCTCAAACCTGGACGCTGTTTCATGGTCATGACCGGTTCCGAAAGGATCATGTCCAAACAGCATCGGCGCAAATCCATGTTGTGGAACCTGTCGGCCAGTTCGAAGATGGCGCAGGCCGTCGTCGGTACCAGCTCGTCTTGTACTGTGCCAGTGCAGAGACGGTGTAACTTGCTCACGGCATACCTAGTTCATGGTTGGGAATGGTATGGACAATTGAATTTCAATATATATTCCGTACTGAGTTCAAGTACCCATAAAAATGGAAAAATATTCAATACAGAGTCTAAGCACCCATAAAAAATGGAAAAGGTTACGCAACTATGACAAAGATGCTTGTCTGCTAGCACCCCCAGCTCCAGGACGGTTGCAAGGCTCCCCTCCACAGTCCCGAAATGCAAGAACCTCAAGAAAGCCTCTACCGCCGCTGAGGAAAAGTCTGTAATTGTAACTTGGGATTTGGCACCTTCCACAAAATTATCCTGCTTGACCATCGTCTCAAAAACTGGCGAGGCAGTCCCCAGCACGGCGGACAGGACGACGAACTCCTTGCGGCAGACACCCAGCTCCTTCGGACTTTTGGTGCCTTCTGTCTGGTCACCAGCGGGCTCTTCCACAACTACTGTGAAGTCACCAGTACCCCAACAGCGGCCCAGGACGTCCCTCGTAAACTCGGCAAAGCTGTCGTTTTCAACTTTGACTGGGCCCATCTGCGTAGGACAGGATCTGAACAAGCAGACTCATGCAGGAGCGTGGAAGGGTCCATGTATCTAAGAAGGCTACACAACTTATAAGAGCATCTTCGAGATTGTTTGTACCTGTAGCTTCCGGAAACAGGCTAATTACAGCAATAGCGAAGCGGTCGGGTATTCGAGACATAGGCACACTTGAAAGCAAGAAAGCCATGCCGGCCCTGTTGCCTTGATCGCATTCCTCATCCCCAAAGCCATACTACTGATACTGATACTGGTGCTGGTTCCTGTTTACTGGTACTGGTACTGGCGACTGCATGACGAGACTAGTCGCAGGGTTTGGGCACCAAGCGATATCGACTGAAATGCTGGACAAATCCTCTCGCTCATGTCTTGCGGCTACATCGGGACTCGATCCACCAGCAGCTGAGCATCAAGTCTCCGGTGACTGAGAAACCGACCCTCAAAGCCCTGGAGTTCCCGAGAAAAAGCTCTCCAGGCATGGAGTTCGGCCCCAACTTCACCAACTCCAGCTTTAAGCCCCGCCTGGACCTAGAGCGTGAACTGTGGCAGCCTGTTTGGATCATTCATATCGAAACCGACAATGAAAGATCACCAGCGCGATCAAAATCAAAGACTCCACTTCACTGTCACTGTCTTGCTGTGACCATTTACCCTAAACTAAACTCTAAAACCCTTCAAATGCCACTCCAAGAGGCGACGTGGTCCCCCGAGTATGGGGGATTCGTGACCAAGATGTCAAACTCTGGTAGCTCCGGGGCCTGCGCCCAGGCATCTATTTGAGGGGCCCTATAAATCAGACTAGGGTTTAGGGTTTAGGGTTTAGGGTTTAGGGTTTAGGGTTTAGGGTTTAGGGTTTAGGGTTGCGCTATAGTATAGTCTAATAGTATCGCGACTGTAATGGGGAGGCTTCTACAGATTTTTCAGTTCAGACTTTTATATGAGTACATTAGGAGTGCTGGAAGCGTCTCACTAGTTCGAGGAGCCCAGGCTCTCTTTGGAATAAGGATTCTGCGCTGGGACTATGAAGAACTTGTAATCATAAATCGAAAATGCCGGCATTTGCGGCCCTTAAGTAATGGGCAAATTTACTTCGATTGCTGCTGCGATCTTGGGAGCTGGACCTGTGCACACGAAACGGAAAGTAAAGATTACGCTGTGGGGATTGAGGCTTCAACAGCACGTGACAGAAGATGCGATGCAATGTCAACAACAACAGAACCTTGTACATAGGGTCAATGAGTTCGTGGTAACGATCATTCCACGATGACGAGGTTACGAGTAATAGAGGGGCCGACACGATTATCAATACTATTTGGGGGCTCCTTACTATATTTATAGTATGGTGGGCCCCAAAACCCTAGTCGAATTATTAAGGCCCCATATAAACATGAACAGATTCCCTGCTTCGAGCTGACAGCCGTAGCTGCCCCTGGCTCGCGTGATGTCAGATCTCAGACTACGTATAAATTTCATTGCAATTCCTTTTTGGGGCGACCTTCTGGGATCTTATTCATAAAAAGGGTTAAACCAACAAAAGGAACCACGATGGAGACTATAAGTATGTTCTGGATTCTGTGAGAACTGACTTCCAGCTAAGCCAGTATGCACACTCCCGCCAAGCCCCACGGGACGAACACATGCAAAGCACATGATACCGCCAGTTTTCTTCAGAAAGAGTGCGAACTAATTTTGAACATATGTCACAGCCGAGTAATGTCTGCAAGGCCAGCCCAAACAAAAAGCAACAGGAAGATCTTGGACAGCTCCTCTCAAAGAGGTCGAGTCGACGGTCTAGTCTTGCCATTTACCCTGAGTCCCAAAACCTCTCTGAGTTGTGGCAGGTTGGGAGGTGGAGTGTGTTTCTTTTGGGGTTTAGGGTTTAGGGCTTTTGAGGGGCTTGGCAGGGTGGCGGACTGTCAACCCCACAGCTTCGGACCCCAGCGCCTTGATCTAATTCTGAGAAACCGCACTGACAACTTAGCACACACTACGGAACCATATCGAAAATCCTAGAAACCCTAAACAATCCTTATCAAAGCCCCGCTAAACCTTTCACCCTACACCCCCAAAATCCCTAACCCTAAACCTTAAACCCTAAACCCTGAACCCTAAACCCTACACCCTACACCCCAAAATCCCAACCCCCTTCGATATCGGGACCTCCCAGGCGGCGTAGCAGTCGACCGGCTGGTTGTAAACACTGAGAAATCCTGATGGGGGGTTCAGGGTTTTAGGGTTTAGGGCTTTAGGGTTTAGGGTTCAGGGCTTAGGGTTTAGGGTTCGGGCTGATGGGATTTGTGTTCAGGGTTACTGTAGAAGTTACAACAAGCGTTGCTATAGAGCTTCCTGTAAGGGTTGACGTTACATAAGCCTTCTATAAGGTTTAGTGTTCAGGGCTGGGGGACCTAAACCCTAAACCCTAAACCCTAAACCCTAAACCCTCAACCCTCAACCCTTGGAGGTTTCGACTTTCGACTTTCGGGGCTTCGCGGTTTTACCAGGGGTTGGGGCCCAGAGGTTTGGGCGTAGGCGTGCTCTGTTCTGGCTTCAGTATGTCTAGGAGTCTAGGGTTTAGTGTTTAGGGTTTAGGACCTAGGGTTTAGCTCCAAGCTCAACGAAAGTTAGGGCTATTGCAAGTCAGCGTCCCCTGCCTGAGGCAGATGGAGAGAACCGCAGCAAAACGATTCCCAAAGGTACCATATCCTCCCTGATTAGCACGTCCGGCTCACCCAGATGTAAGGGGAAGTGACCTTAACCTATTTAGTGAGACTTTCAGACATGTAATGTAGGGGCCTTAATAATTAGAATAGGGTTTTGGAGCCCATTGTACTATACTATACTTATTAATACGGAAGCCCCGAAATAGTATTGGTAACTATTTAGGCTCCTACATGTATGTCTGAATGCACAGGGCCTCAGAGCTCGGCTGCTTTGTCAGCCATGTACCGGATTGCCCCGGGGGCAGCGCATCGTAGCAGCCGCTTTTTTTAACCGCGAGCCAGCAAAACGCATCAATTCATCTCTTCCGAGGACCACCTCAAGTCTGCCTTGGTTATGCCGCTGTACCTGAGCTTTTGGGCTAGGGTCTTTGTGTTGAGGGCCCTTGTCCTTGGTGCTGTTGCGGGTTTAGTGTTTAGGGTTGAGGTTTCGCGGGTTATACGAAACATGTGGGGCCCGTCCCCTAACCTCGGAGTAGTGGCACTGAAACCCTAGAATACTGAGGCATACAGTCGTTGGGGCATGCCATGTGGAAGCGAAGTACACTTTGGGAGAGGTGTCGCAACATTCGGACTTCTGTACGGAATACCGACCACGCATGCACGCAGACTTTCTTTCATGTTCTGCTGCCCTGAGCGCGACAAGCCTCGCAACTCGAAGCAGGCCGCAGATCTGAAACCTGACTAGCGCTACATCACTAAGTCACCGAGCCATTATAAAGCCTAGACCGCGTGCTCACATTTAGCACAGGCACCGCAGCTGGTAGGCCCCACTGCTTCAACAGAGCCAGGACGAAATTCTGAAGGTTCGAAGATGACCAGCTGGGTCGAGTCTTTCCCCAGCCGGTGATGATGATGCCTCGAACAGATGAAAGGAGGATCAGGAGTAGTCAGTAAGGAAGTCACGTATTGAACTTATACAACGGACAAAAGGGTGCAAAGAAGGTGATCAATCGAAGTTGAAAACCGTACTGCCAAAGAGAGGATTAGCAGCAGAACTTTCAGGAATAATAGTGCTGGACAACAGTCACTACAATGACAAACACTCGCATGATAGTACATGCAAGCCATCCGACACGCTCCACAAGCTCTATAACCAGCAAGCCTGGCTTTGTAACTAAGCTACCAGACCTTATCTGCCCTGCTTGTTGCGGCCGAGCCGACCCGATCAAAAGTCAACTAAACAATCGAGAGCTGTAGAACAAAGCCCAGGTACAAGTCGTTGGCTTTGTAGAGCTCAAGCGATGCATCAATTCTTCCGAGAGCCACCAGCTCACCTCGGACAAACGAAACCACATATCCTGCACGACCCCGATTGAGGAATGATCCCACAGCGATGGATGTTCCTAAACGCAAGCCAGGTTGCAAACACTGTATGCATGCCGCATATGCATAAAATGTGTGTCTTACTACACGGCATACACACACACAAGCACGCTATTGGTGGTAGGCACAGGCAGATGCATGCATATATAAGCCTGCCAAAATCGCGGAACTGAGATTCTAAACGGCGCCACGGACTATCTATCTATCTATCTATCTATCTATCTATCTATCCATCTATATGTCTACCTATACATCTATACATGTGTCTATCTATCTACCTATGTATATCTCTGTCTATCAATTCATCGATCTTCTATCCTCGACCTCTTGTATATGTAGGTGTGTATACATATATATATATATATATGCATACACTAAACTGTGTTCATATTATGTATATGTAATTTATATAGAAACGCTGCAGCACAGCACACGAGACAAAGTTGGACAACTGATATGCTTCGAGGAAAATGCTGGGAGTGAAGGGTCCAGGATTCCGGGTTCAGTTTTTGGGGTTTTAGGACTTAGGGTCTTAGGTTTTAGGGTTTTCGTGTTTAGGGTTTAGGCTTTAGGCGTTTAGGGTTTAGGGTTTAGGGCCTAGAGTTTAGGGTTTTTATAGGACCTAGGGTTTGGGACTTGGCGAGTTTGGATCCGACATAGACCAGCACGCAAGTGGCTCATCACAATAATGCCGATCTTGAAGCCGCAGTCGAGATGCTGCATGGAGGGCCGGCCCGTAGGAAAGCTGATGCAAGTCCTGTGCTGCTTATAGGACTTTAAGAGCTACTCCATAGGAGGTGGAGCTTCCGGGTCCTCTGAATACAAGGGTTGCTCGGTTCTCCCAAAACATCCTTTGATCCCGAGCCTTACCTTGCAGTCGAGACTCCAAGATCAATGGGCTTTCGTCACAGAGCCGGCCATAGACTCCTGCATCCATGGCTTCTTGAAAAACCCGCCGCCCAATGGGATGGTCGCCGAGGGAATCCAGCCTGAATACCAGTAGTAGTAGTAGTAGTAGTAGTAGTAGTAGTACAGCTCTTACTATGAATATGACTGCTACTGTCACTATCACTTTCACTAGTACCACTTACTTGTGCTCTCACAGATACTCGTCTAACTGCTATAACTTCTACCACTACTTTGTTCGGGAAGGCCGCCCTTGGGTACCAGCTCGCTGCACCTTTCTGTTCTCGCTTTGCGACCAAAACGATCACGTGGTTTAGCCGCTTATGCTGTCGGCGAATCAGTGGTGCGGACTGCAGGCTGCAGTGGCTCGTCTTTAAGGTTAGGCCGCGTCGCACCATGTCCAGAATTACGGCGAATTATCCTAGACCCTCTAAACCCCAAACCGACTGGAACAGCCAAGCAGCATAGCATTGTAGCTCATGATATTTGGGCTGGCACGGCCTGCTGCCATTGTACTGAAAAGGTGCAGGGCCAAAGGCCACTCCTCGCCCTTCCCACAAGCGCCAAGTGTGGCGTTAAAGCCTCCCAAGCTCATCACCCAAGTGCAAAGACTGGATCATGCTACAAGATCCAGAGTTCTTAAAGTGGGGTACCTGCATAAGTTGAAACATCAGAAAGCCACCTGATTAAAGCACCGATTGCTCGACTGGACTTCCTCTGAACTCATGTTCACCTGACTCTTGTCCAAAGTTTCAGAACAGCAACGGCATCCCGGACCCCGTGCAACATAGCCAAACTTCGAAAATGGTTTGACGGCAGAGGAGCTGGTGATGCTTGGGCTGATGCGAGCTGTTGGCATCGAGTTGAAGAGGAAAAGAGCCAGCTGCCATTGACCACCCCGCTCAGCGGCGGTGATAGTGGCATTGTAGCCTAAGCACTTGCACAACAAGCCGTCAACCTGTCGTGTCCTGGTAGGGCTTAACAACTAATTAATGTTCAATGTTACACCCATGGTCAAACGCAATGACAACAGTTCTGTTCGGAGGCCCGCTGCTAATGACATTGGGGCTGACTTCTGCACGAGGCATTTCACTGAAGAAGTGCAAAGCCAACTGCCACTGGCTTGCTTTCTGACATGCACTGATCATCGCACTGTAGCTGATGACAGTCGGCTGCAGGTGTCTCGCATGCAATTCCTCAAAAAGGGATGCTGCCAACTGCCATTTCACTGCCTTCTCGCAGGCCCCAATGCTCGCAGTATAGCCTAGGTTGGCCGTTTACGAACTTTGAAAAACATTCGTCAGCAAGATGCTGCTAGCAAGGCAACATGTAAAATGTCCCAGAGGCCTACCTAGAAATCCTAAACCCTAAACCCTAAGTCCCAACCCCGAACCCCTAAACCTTCATAAATGCCACCCAGTAGCTGATTACATCCGGAGCAACTTGGGATCGTGGCATCTCATAGAGCAAGCCTCGGTTCTTACTTGCTCAGGAATTGGTGATTTAAGTTACTATATTCCTCTGAAGGATCTATAAGGGTTCCTTTGAAGCGATCTATAGTAGAAAATATGGTTTCTGTGTTGATGTTAAAGAACTTCGAATTAAGTTGTCATAACTAGTTTTGGGTTGCTTTAAAGGGTTATGTAAAGGTTCTGTACGGGTTTAGGGTTCAGGGTTAAGGCACCTGAATCATCTAAATATAACGTGCCATGATAGGGATCGATGGCACATAATACGGCACATAATACGGTTTCCGAATATTTAGGTAACTTAGTCAATGAAGTTCCTTAACAAAAACCAAGATGCCAAGGCCCAATTGCCACTGCCCGGCCTTTTCGCACGAACTGATGGCAGCATTGAAACCGACAAGATCAGGAGCAACTTTCAAGAGTCTCATGCTGCTAAAGAGAGCCAGAGCAGGCTGCCACTGCTCCTAGGTTGGCCCCTCAAAGCCTCTGAAAAATAGTCGTAAATAAGATCCTCTCAAGCCCAATCAGGGAAAAATATAAAATGTCCCAAAGGCCTGCCTAGGCTCATTCTTTCCACAAGCACTGATGGTTGCATTGCAGCTGGTTGTATCGATTGGAAGCTTGCTGACCCTCATGTCAGCAAACAGCTGCAAAGCGACTTGCCACTGGCCTCCTGATTCGCAAGCGCAAATAACCGCGCTGAACAAGATCCGATCAGCACGAACTTTGAACCTTTGCATCGATGAGAACAGATCCAGAGCCAGTTGCCATTGGCCAGCCATGTCACACGCACGAATTGCTGCGCTGAAGGTAATGACATTGGGCGAGACATCTGTGTGTGGCATGGCATCGAGAAGGGACAAAGCCAGCTCCCACTCACCACCCGCCCCACAGGCACTAATCGCGGCACTGTAGCTAACCACATTGGGTGCAACCTTCGCTCTGGGCATCTCGTGGAAAAGGGAGACGGCCATGTGCCACCTGCCAGCCTTCTCCAGAGCACTGATTGCAGAGCTGTAGCTGATGACGTTGGGCACGATTTGCGATTTTTGCAGTGAAGTAAACAATGTCAGCGCTAGCTGCCATTGCTCACTCTTCTCGCAGCAAGTTATTGCAGCGCTATAGCTCACAATGTCCGGCGCAAGCTTTGCACTGGGAATGTCGGAGAACTGCTGCAATGCCAGCTGCCACTGCCTGACAGGGGGTCTCTTTGAGGCTGGCGACTCGGGTAGGATCTGCTCGTTGCACATGGACACGTGGAACTAAACATAAGCTCGGACAAAATACAATGCTCGAGAAAAAACATAGCTTCAGAACCTGAATCATCCCCGAAAGCTGGCGATGGATTACTTATTGCATGATGGCATGTCTCTAACGATACTTGTGGTGACCATGGTGACCATGATGATGATGATGATGACGATGATGACGATGATGGTGATGATTATGATGATGGTGATGGTGATGAAAAAGACGATGCGGATCAATATGCTGACGTTGCGATTGTGAGTGATGGTGAGAACGACAATGGTAATGGCCATGACCTCGGTGATGATCATGATGATGACGAATCAGAAGGATATGATGCTAATAATGCAGACGGATATGGTGATAACTGTGATGATGATGATGATGCTGATGATGGTGATGGTGATGGTAATGATGATGATAATCGGATGTGATGCTGGTATTCATGGTTCATGATAGCGATGCAATCGCCATTGTTGATATATCATGAGGTGATAGTGGCCAGAACTGGTCGTTGTGGTTGTGGTGATGGTGCTGTGCGAACTGCGGCGGTGAAATCACAGGTGCAGACATGTCAATTAGTTGAGGCCTCCCTTTCTCCAGAGCACTAACCGAGGCATTGTAGACGATGATGTCTGGGTGCAGGTTGCAATCCTGTAGGCCGGCGAACCTTCAGGCACAAAGCTCCACAAGCCATTCGATTCACAGTCGGGGTTCACGAAGTCGAAATTAGTTCAGTTTGCCCTCTACAAAGCTTACGAGGCCATATCCCCGCAAGCCTGAGTAGTAGAAAAGATTCAACCACAAACCAACGGACGATGACAAGTCTGAAAACCGGGCAAGTGGCAAAGCCAGGGACGACTGCCACAACTTCGCGGCTGTACAGGCGCTGATGCCTGCGGTGGGAGTGGCGAGTGGGACCAGCACATAATCCCTACGAATGCCGAAATCACCTTTGGGCAAGGAAGTTGGCTTCAGGGTCTTTCGGTCCGCCGGAGCACGATCCTTCTGCCAGCTGCCTTGAGTTAGCAGTGCCTTCTGAAAGCTGGGATGTATCCTGTTCATCGTATCAACCCTTTTATGAAGGCAATACTCGCACAAACACACCCAGCACGCCGATAAAGAAGCAACAGGTAAACTTTGGCCAGAGCCGGCGCACTATAGGCCGCAGCAGTTGCAGATCGAAGAAGCCCCGCGTTTAAGGACAGCTGTCCGTCCAGAGTCTGCGCCCCTCGTACTGAACATGCCTATACTCCCAGGACGACTTTTCGGGTCTCCAAAATCAGCCCAGCCGGGCCTGCGGTGAAGTGCGCCAGGCCCAACGAAACCCCTGCTTCAACACGTAGGACATCGAGGACCTTCTCCAGCGCAGATAATTCCGGGCTTCACGTTCCTGTGCTAGCTCCTAATTCCTCCTCCTCTACCTCTACCTCTACCTCTACCTCTACCTCTACCGCTACCTCTACCTCTACCTCTACTACTACTACTACTACTACTACTACTACTGCTACTGCTACTGCTACTGCTACTACTACTTCTAAGCCACTGAAGCTACCCTCCTCGTTTTGATGATGTTGCAATGCATCTATGTTGCTGTTCACCAGGAAGCATCGGTGAAGGCTTTGGAGGTGTCACTGGTGGAAGTACATGGTACCGGCACATCCCTGGGCGATCCCATCGAGGTTGGTGGCATGAAGAGCACCTTAGGCAAAGGTCGCACGGAAGATGCGCCCTTGGTGCTGGCTGCGACGAAGTCGATCATCGGACACACCGAAGGCCTCCTGTCTGAGTTCAAGAGGTTGCATGCTGAGCATGGACTTTCCAATGATCTCCACTCTTCCCGCCCCCTTTCCCTGCCATGTGGCTTGGCCTGCTCCAGCCTGTTACTCCTCTGCACCTGCCCGAGGTTCTGCGGGTGTTGCCGGCCTTATCAAGATGATTGGTGAGTTCAACTACAGGCACTTTGAAGCGTTTCCAAGCAGCCGCGGTAGGGAAGCAGCTGCTGCGTTGCACCTCGTGTGATCAACTGACAGGATCGTGCCGAAGAACCTGCACTTGAAAAAGATGAACCCCAACATCGACTTAACCGACTTCCCTGTCATCATGCCGAGCAGTATTATTGACTGGAAGGGATCCCGGGCAGTTGCAGGCACATCTTCCTTCGGCCTCTCGGATACCAAGCTTGTCGTTGTGTTTTTTGTTGCTCCTATTGCAGTCGTTACCTTAAGTCCAGCAGACGAGGATTCTCTGGCACAAACAGCCACGGCACCTTGGAAGCTCCAGGTGGAGGAGACGGAAAGAACGTGGTCTTGGAGCGCCCCGAGAAGCTGAACTGGAATCGAACCTATCACCGGATGTACCACGACTGGTCTCAGGGCCTCTGGTTTGCCACTGAGTGGCGTGCCGCGCCCCTTCCGTCTGCCAAGTCCGAATCCGGCCCGTGCCTGGTGATCGGCGGTGGTGCCTTTGGTGATGAGTTGAAGAAGCTGATGGAGACCAGCTCCGTGCCGGCGAAGGCAGATGAGCTGGAGGCCAAGATTCAAGGCAATGCCTGGAAGGCCGTAATCTTTGCCGAGACCCTGGTGGCAGAGGATCCGACCGCGGAGGGCCCCGCAATGGCGGCCCTGCTCAGCGCGGCCCAAGCTGCCGCGATGTCTCCCCAGATGCGCTTCGTCGTGCTCACTGCAGGGGCTCAGGAGGCGGAGGCTTCCGGTGAGGGCATAGGACGTGGCCTCCTGGGAGCGGCAGCCTGGGGCTTCATGCGCTCCATGCCGCTGGAAGCGCCGAAGCTCCAAGCCCAGGTAATCGATCTGACGGGGCCTCAGCTTCTCCCTCTTTCCGTCCCTAGTTTCTTCTTCTTGAAGTTTTCCGGCCATCCCAACATTGTGTTGCAGCTTCTTCCATTTGAGGCCGTGCTCGTACGGCAGCTCCCTGACTTCCTGGGTGCAGAGCATTGCAGATGAGCTTTCTTGTGAGGACTGAAAGTATCGCTGAAGATGTTTCTGTGCAGCAAGGTTGAGGAATTAGGGTCTATTATGCGCAAAGCTTCATTCTTCCTGGCGAGCTGTGCTTCTCACTTCCGGAAGGACTTGGAGCGGGAAGTCTCTTACGGAGACGATTCCGCAAGGCGCGCGCCACGCTTGGCGAAATACACCATGAAGCCGGGTGTTGCTCGGCTCGTTTTTGGAGTGTGGTGGCCATCGCCCAAAGCAGTTTGGGGCTGGGGCTGGAGCAGTGATAATGAGATGGTCACGACAATGAAGAGGACACAGATCACGAAGACTACGAAGCAAAGAGGCAAAGCCATGACGGCATCAACACACTAGAAGGAACAACAGTGACATCGGCAGTATCATCGCGCCGTCGTTATCGTGATGGTGCAGCGGTGGTGATGGTAGCGATGCATCAACTATGGTGAGACAAGCAGAGAGCAAGGATACGTATAGCATAGAGGAATAAGAGTATTGCAAGTACATAGCAGTGAGAAAGCAGGATTATAGCAGAGGATAAGAGTGATACGAAAAAAACAAAGCCAAACATCGTATCAAACAGACGGGAAGGATGATGCATGTCGCAATGACGGAACAAATTACATAAACGAGCGAGAAGTATTTACAGTGATGTTCGCAAATACTGTAAACAAACACTATGTGGTAATAACTGGGCACTTTCGTGGAATGTGCGAAAGCTGATGCTGATGACGCTCGCTTGCCTGGGGCTTGTGGTGAAAGGTGGGGCAGCAGATGCTTATGATGCTCGCTGGCCTGGGGCTTGTGGTGGAACGTGGGGCAGCTGATGCTTATGATGCTCGCTGGCCTCGGGCTTGTGGTGGAAGGTGGGGCAGCAGATGCTTATGATGCTCGCTGGCCTGGGGCTTGTGGTGAAAGGTGGGGCAGCTGATGCTCATGATGCTCGCTAGCCTGGGGCTTGTGGAGAAAAGTGGGGTGGTGAAAGTTGGGGCAGCTGATGCTTATGAGGCTCGCTGGCCTGCGGCTTGTGGTGAAAGTTGGGGCAGCTGATGCTTATGATGCTCGCTGGCCTGGGGCTTGTCCTGGGGCTTGTGGTGAAAGGTGGGGCAGCTAATGCTTATGATGCTCGCTGGCCTGGGGCTTGTGGAGAAAGGTGGGGCAGCTGATGCTTCTGATGCGCGCTGGCCTGGAGCGGGTGCAGAAAGGTGGGGTCTTATGATGCTCGCTGGCCGGCTTGTGGAGAAAGGTGGGGCGGCTGATGCTTATGATGCTCGCTGGCCTGGGGCTTGAAGTGAAAGGCGGGGCAGCTGATGCTTATGATGCTCGCTGGCCTGGGGCTTGTGGTGAAAGGTGGGGCAGCTGATGCTCATGATGCTCGCTGGCCGAAAAGGTGAGGCAGCTGATGCTTGTGATGCTCGCAGGCCTGCGGCTTGTGGTGAAAGTTGGGGCAGCTGATGCTTACGATGCTCGCTGGCCTGCGGTTTGTGGTGAAAGTTGGGGCAGCTGATGCTTATGATGCTCGCTGGCCTGGGGCTTGTGGTGGAAGGTGGGGCAGCTGATGCTTGTGATGCTCGCTGGCCTGGGGCTTGCGGTGAAAGGTGGGGCAGCTAATGTTTCTGATGCTCGCTGGCCTCCGGCTTGTGGAGAAAGGTGGGGGCAGCTGATGCTTATGATGTGCGCTGGCCTGGAGCGGGTGCAGAAAGGTGGGGTCTTATCATGCTTGCTGGCCTGCGGTTTGTGGAGAAAGGTGGGACAGCTGATGCTTATGATACTCGCTGGCCTGGGGCTTGAAGTGAAAAGCGGGGCAGCTGATGCTTATGATGCTCGCTGGACTGCGGCTTGTGGTGAAAGTTGGGGCAGCTGATGCTTATGATGCTCGCTGGCCTGGGGCTTGTGGTGAAAGGTGGGGCAGCTAATGTTTATGATGCTCGCTGGCCTGGGGCTTGTGGAGAAAGGTGGGGCAGCTGATGCTTATGATGCGCGCTGGCCTGGAGCGGGTGCAGAAAGGTGGGGTCTTATGATGCTCGCTGGCCTGCGGCTTGTGGAGAAAGGTGGGGAAAGGCGGGGCGGCTGATGCTTATGATACTCGCTGGCCTGGGGCTTGAAGTGAAAGGCGGGGCAGCTGATGCTTGAGAAGCAGCAATCTTCTTAGAAACTATAGTCACTACAGGCATTAACAGGTTTTACGTGCAACAGTCCACAATCGAAGGCTCTTGCAGTGATTTTCAGTCTGCAGGCCATTCCGTACTATCATTATGCTACCTACTGCTCTCGACGCCGTTCACCCAGAAGTGAACGAATATTGACTAGCACACACAATTTTTGCTTTGGGTTTGTCGATAGTGTAGTTCTAGGGTACATGTCAATTGGGCCCGTACTGATGTTTTGCTGCAGTAGCAGTAGCAATCCTACACCTGTTTTCGTGGTCGGAAGAACAAGATGACACCCATGCCGAAGCCAAATTCATCATCAGCCTCAATGGTGGAAGACAGCATGGCTATATGTAGCAGGGATGGTCCTGAGAACAGCAACAAATAGCCACATGCCCCAAAAACCACAAAACCCTGAAAACCTCCCTCCGTCTCAGGTCAACACCCTGGCAGATCCTAATAAGACGCAGCTTGTCACTGGTGGACTGGGTGGCCTTGGCTTACAGACCGCCCACGCCCTGACGGTCCTTGGCAAGAAAGGTGATTTCAAGCACAGGGGTAGGATTTGAGTTTGCGGTTTAGGATCAATTGTATTAGGGCTCACCATGATGCTGAACAGGATTAACAAAAGGATTAGGAATACTGTTTCGGAGGAAGCCATTCAGCCGATTGGGCAGTGAACAGTGCTGTCAAACAGCAGCAACAGAGAAGTGCGCACAGTCGCAGGAGTACGCGCCAAGACTAATAGCAAAGGCAGTAGGAGTAGTGATAGAGCTAGTTTGAAGAATGCTAGATGCACTGAGAGAGCTTTAATAGGAGGCGAAGTCACAATGCTGATGATGAAGAGACGACAACGAGCTCCGGCAGCGGCAGTCACAATCATCATAACCGTAGCGGTGACAGCAGGAATCACCGGAAATTCACGAGGATCTCGGTGCTCGCAACCTGCTCCTGGTCTCCCGTCGCGGGGCCGTCGCTTCTGGTGACGCTGCAGCGGTGCAGCAGCTGGAGGATCTGCAGGCGATGCAATGTTTGGGCTGTGGGGCGGTGACGTGTGAGCCCAACGTAATGGGACAAGGGTGCATGGATGTTCATGGGCCTAAGTTAGAGTTGCTTAGTTGACTGTGGCTCGCTCCGAAGCTGTCTGAACGTCGTAGGATTACACCTGCCTGGCAGGTGAAGCCCGGAGTCACCGTGCACACCTGGGCCTGCACCTCCATCAGCACTCAGATCTCCGAATATGCTTCTGCATCATGATATAGGAGTTCCACTACTGCCTGAAGAGCACAGCTCAGATCGGTGCTTGTTGAGACCAGGTGATGTGGGCCAGAAGGACAACGTCACGGCTCTGATGCAGCGTCTACAGTCGGAATTGCCAGACAATCCTCTCGGCGGGATTGCGCATCTTGGGCTGCGACGTGATGCTTCGATCGCGTGCTCAGCACTCGTCGCTCTTGAAACACCATCGGATTGCACATCGACAGAAGCTGTCCAAAAAGCTCGCCTCTTGCCAGGCATGCTGCAGGAATCATCGACTTCGTTGAGCTGAAGGCAAACATCTGACGAATCAGAGCCTGTACCTACTGCTCTTCACAAAATCAGGGTGCACTGGAACTGGAAGTCCTTTCCCATCTCGAGATGCCAGCAGTGTGCCGACTCTGCGCAGGCTCAAAGCATGGAGCGCATGAGCAAGGTCTTCAAGCCGAAGGTGTCGGGTGCATGGCACTTGCACGAAGCGAGCAAGGAGATGGAACGTCTTGGTCACACGCATGCGCAGTCAAACACAGACTTCAAGCCCACATGATTCTGAAAGCAGGACCTCGACCTAGGCTCCTTCGTGGGCTTCTCCTCGGTCTCTGCACTCATCGGGCTCTCGCGCGGCACGAGCTACTCGGCTTCGAACGCCTACTTGGACGGCTTGGGCCTTTGGAGGCACAAAGCGGCTTTGCCCTTCTCCAGCGTCCAGTGGGGCCCCGTGGCGGAGGTCGGCATGGCCAGCAAGGACGGGCCTGTCTTCTGCCTTCTGCACAGCCCCCATTGGGGCTCTCGGAGCTTTTTTAAAATGGATGTGAGTGCAAGGATCATTCTGGGCAAGCCGACTCGGCATTGCGGCAGCTGCCGCCCGGCCACGTCCAGGCGGCTTTCAGGCTGGCCGTGGTGGGCAACGGCAACCGCGGATGGCCTTTGCCCTCGCTGTGTTTTGCACAGGCGCGTGTTGTAGGGAAGCCTTACTGTAGCATCCTAATGTCTTGTGGTGGTGATCCTGGCATGTCGTAGCTCAGGGCATTGTTCGTGAGACTTGAGGTGGAGTGGGGCCGCTTCCTGCGTGAGCTCGGGGCGGAGATTCCCATCCTCGAGGAGTTTGCCGGCGAAGAGGAAAGCGCCATCGCGACCGGCACGGCCACCGCTGCCCTCCCGGCGGCTTTCCGCGGCCTAGGCCCCGAACAGCTCGAGGCGAAGCTTGGTCAGGTCGTCCAAGGAATCGCTCTGGGAATCTTGGGCGTTGACGAGCTCACCGCGGATGCTCCACTCATGGAGGCCGCTTTTTTTACGGCCCTGAATGCTAAGTCTAAGTCCTAAGAGCCCTGACTGGTAATTAGCCGATGAGATCTCTCTGCGAGGCCGGCCTGGATTCCTTGTCTTCAGTGGACTTCCGGAACTCCGTGGCGAAGGCCCGGTTTGGTTTTGACTGCACTTTTGCGAGGTGTCACACCGTGGTACCCCTGGCTCTAGCCGTCGCGTTGGTCCGACGTTTGTTCGAGTCAGCAAGTTTGCCACTCCCGTGCATGGCCTGATTGCGTTCCGATGCGTTCCGTATCCGGAGATGCGAGCATGCGAGCCGGCGGGGGGGCTGCAGGGCGGGGTGGCAGTCTCTGTCCGTTCCGTCAACAAATATGTGAAGCTCATCTGCTTCGAAGGATGTGTCAGCAGATGTGCTGCAAAGTGCTGTCAGGAGCTGCCGGGCCTGAAGCTTCCGAGCACGCTGATGTTCGACCACCCCACGACGAAAGCCATCGCTGCTTTCGCCACAGAGCAGCTCGCGGCGGCAGCTGCGGCACCACCACCATCCCCCGTCACGGCGCCGGCGCCGATGGAGTTGGAGATCTCCTTCCCAGGAGACTTCGACTCCCTGAGCTTTGAGGAGAAAGAGGAGTTCAAGGCACAGGCGCTCAAGGAGATCCTCGAGAGGACCGGCTTGCGGCCGGAAGATTTGGAAGATTTGTGTTTGGAGCCCGGGTCCATCATCGTCAAGGCCAAGTTCAGGGAGACCTCGGATCTCCCGGCAAACCGGGCCCAGGTCGCAGCCTTAGAGCGAAGGTGTCAGGGAAAGTCGAGGCTGAGGCTTCGCTTCTGTTTTGTGCGCGTCTCTGCCTAGGCCGTGGTGGCTGAGATGACCGAACGGCCCATGTCTGTGGAGCTGGAGGGTCACGAAACCTTCTTGTCCCAAAGTGCCTCGAGCTCTTCTGCGGCTCCTGCGCCGGCCAAGAAGGGCGCGACCGCCGCCCGCTTTCCGCGGTCTTTGCCAGCACCAGGACCGGCCGCAGCCAGGTCGCCAGTTGCTGTGAACTCTGCAGCCTACCGCTTCCCGTTGGAGGGCACCGCACCGGACGAAATGTGGGATGTGCTGACAAAGAAGACAGATGGCGTGACTGAGATCCCACTGGAGAGATGGGACGTGGATGCCTATTACGACGAGGATGCAGAGGTACCAGGCATGATGACGGTGCGACATGGGGCCTTTGTCAAAGGAACCTTGGCTGAAAGTGTGCCTCTTCGCGAAGAGAGCGCACCAGCAGTCTGTAGAAGTTGTAATGGTGTACCGGTGTACCCTTGCATGGTCCTGCATGTACACTTGCACTTGTGCGTGCCTGTCTGTATGCGTTTGTCCGCCTGCGTCTGTCCATCCATCCTTCCGTCCGGTCCGGTCCGGTCTATCTGTATGCCACATTAACCAGGGCCATTCTAAAAACGGAAGTGTTGTGTCGGATAACAGCAACCATGGAGCAGCATTGCTGCAGTATCACGTCATGTCGTGGACCTTACTATTAAGATAACTGGGTGGGCTAGGGCTCCCCTGTGTCTGTCTCTGTCATTGCCTCTGTATGCCTCTGTCTCCGTCTTTCGCTCTACCTCTAGTTCTCTCGCTCTCGCGCCGCTCTTCTCGCTCTCGCTCTCGCTCTGTCTCTCTCTCTCTCTCTGTGTCTCTCTCCCGCTTTGACACTTTCGCCCGTTCATGGGAAAGCTTGTCAGAGATCCACCGCACAAGTGACTTCGGAGAGGAGCCGACTTGTTCGATGCCTCCTTCTTTGGCCTCAGCCCTGCAGAGTCCAAAGTCATGGACCCTCAGCAGCGTCTTCTGCTGGAAGTGATCTACCAGTCTTTCCACGTGGCTGGCATGCCCCTCAGCTCCCTTACGGGCATGGATGCCGAAATTACGGTCGGCCAGTGCAACAACGATTGGGGTCACATGGGCTTCAGCGGCTCCGCCGAAGCGTCGGAGAAGATCGGACCCTACACCGGCTTGGCCGTTTCCACTTCCATCTCCTCCAATCGTGTATCCTACTTGCTCGGCTTGAAGGGTCCCAGTGCCACCATCGACACGGCCTGCTCCTCCTCTTTGGTCGCCGTGGACGTCATCGTCTCGAACCTTCGGCGTGGCAGATCCTCAGTCGGAGCGGCGTCGGGAGTGAATCTCTGCCTCATTCCGGGTCCGTTCATCGCCTGTAGCAAGGCCCACATGCTGTCAGAGGACGGACGCTGCAAGACTTTTGATGCATCAGCTAATGGCTACGTTCGTGGAGAGGGCTGTGGATCAGCCACACTCTCACTGCTGGACGGTGGAATTGACTTGAAGCCAGTGGTGGTGCTGAAGGGCTCAGCGGTAAATCAAGATGGCCGCAGCAGTAGCCAGACTGCCCCACACGGACCTTCGCAGCAGGCGGTGATCATGACTGCCCTGGCAGAGGCGGAATTGGAGCCGCAATCCGTTTCCTGTATGGAAACGCACGGGACAGGCACCGCCCTTGGAGATCCCATCGAGGTCGGAGCACTGGGGAACACTCTTGGTGAGGGCCGCTCAACCGACGTGCCACTGGCCCTCTGCGCAGTAAAGACGAACTTGGGCCACTTTGCCTGCAAGGAGGATTTGACCGGACGAAGGGAGAGAGAGCACCGAGAGCTACCGAGGCTTTTGAGGGTTTCGTGTTCCTGAGACATCTTTCAGGCATTTCAGGCTCGATGTCAGTTTTCGGCCGAGGCCACCTGGAAGGAGCTGCGGGCATGGCGGGCCTCGTGAAGGTAATGTGCATGCTTCCTCGCCAACGGGCTCCACCAAACCTGCATTTCCAGAAGCTGAACCCCCACTGCGATTTGGAGGATTTCCCAACCAACATTCCAGTGGAGGGGCTGCTGGAGCTTGTTTCGGTTGCAGACCATGTGTCGTCTGGCCTTTCCTCCTTTGGATTTGGAGGACCGGCTGTATGGGTATGCATGGATGCTTGTAAGTGCAATCAAATGCAGAAACCCGAGAGCTCTTGGTTCTGGTTTTGTACCACTAGCAGTCATTAGCAGCCACCGAGAACAATAGCAATTTACGTCTTCTTCAAAACGGTTAGTGCCTGACAGGCACAAACACACATGTGGTCTTGGAAGACGCCCGTGACGTGGTGCCGGTGACCTCGGTGGAGGTGGCACCGGTCTTCAAGCGCCAGTCCTTCGCCTGGCAAGCGCGGCGGCACGCCCTGCTGTCGCGGACGCTGCGAACGGCCGAGGGCACCCAGGTCTTTGCCCAGCCCTTTGCAGGAAAGCTGCTGCAGCTTGTGAGCCGGGGCCTCAGGTCCGCTAGTCGCTCTTTTCGACTCTGAGGGCCTCCTGACGGCTGTGGAGCCAAGCCAAGGCCACCACATCATCTTCGGAGAGATCGTGGTGCCTGGGGCAACCTATCTGGAAATGGTCCTGGCGGCGGGCGAGTTCCACCTGAACTGCAAGGACAAGCAATGGAACATCCGCAAGGCCCGTGGCCGGAAGATAACATCTGTCGATGCAAATTGTCATGCATCTGTATCCAGATAGCATCAACATTTTCATTGACATTGCTCTTCTTCCTCTGATTCAATACTCATGGCTGTTGTTCTCTAGCTGTGATCGTTCTTGCTGGCGTGTCTGTTGTCTCGGTTGCGTTTTTTCGATATTAATAAAGTCTTACCAAAGTATTGCTGTTCATGCGAGTGACAACAACAAGTGTGATGATGGCAGTACTACTACTACTACTAC